CTGGTAGGGCTCCCAGAAGCTTAGGGCCTCCACCACTCCATAGGTATTGGCTTTTTCTCCATTACTGTGGAAGACACACCTCTAGTGTGTGCAAATTTCATATTCCCTATGACATTGGAACAAAAACAGGTTTTACTGTCCATGTAATTTGGTATCACACCTGGGATTCCGTACCAATTATATCACATGATTCAAGTCACATCCTGCCCTAAGTTACACCTGTACAGCATTTCTGCTTTCAGGAGTGTAGTCAGGGAGAGAGGTAAATACACCAGGCAAATAGGAGGGAAGAGATCTATGGTCCACATGCCTTTGACAGTGTCATCCATTTGCATGACACATCAATGAATACTGCAGAAATTAAAGCATTAGTCACTGTGATTTTTTTTTTAGGATAATAGAATGACTTCCTTAACAACTAGATTTAAAACATGGATTTTTAATTAGATTTTAAACATAGGTAATCCATTTGACAGGGTGTTCAATGGTGCTAACATTGTTGTGAACAGCATATATCTTGGAAGAGCAAACTGTATTACCTTAAGGTTCAAAATCTTATAATGAAACTGGTAGAGGGGTCTGAAAATGTATTGCCTTCTCTTAGTTGGCTCATGAACAGGGTAGGCCCCGTCTGAAATTCTAGCCACAAGGCGCCCCACCACTTAGTCCACAAACTGCCTGAATGTCTTCTGATGTGTGAGATACTGTACTAGAGCTGAAGGTTTGACTGGCATGATGGATGGATCTTTGTCCTGTTTTATATGCACTCCACACATATAAAATTAGTATGGGCAACTAAGAAGGGGGGATTAAAATCAGCACCAACATCCAGAATCCTATTGGCTATTTGAATTGGCATAAGTGTAATGGATTTGCTGCTAGTTAATAAGTTATTGCTTGTATTTCACATCAAGTGCAAAGTCTTGTTAGCGAGTGGCAATTTATATCATTGTGCATATGCCAGTGTAAATAATCAATAGGATTCTCAGTAATGTAAACAATTAGAACTCAGCCAAAAGCTGCCAGAATAAATGTGGTTATGAAAACTGTTTAAAAAATCAGAATTATGAAGCTGAAGGTATGCCTTGTTTCAGATGACAAAACTGTTTCCCAAAGAGTACATGCTGATAAGTTGCATTCATTGCTGATCCTGGATACGCAGGTTCTGTCATGGGTAGGAATGCATTTGTACAGTTAAAACTGGTGTGCCAGATGTGCCTGTTCTTCCAGAGATCTGATTTGGCTGCCGTGGCACTTGCCTTAGTTACATCCCACTGCAATATGCTCTGTGCCTTTGAGGACAGTTTGGAAACATCAACTGGTTCCAATTGCAACAGCTAAATTGATGACTGGGGGCAGTTACAGGGAGTACATATCTCCCCTACTACAACGGCTGCACTGGCTACCAGTCCATTTCTGGGCCCAATTCAAAGTGCTGGTTATAACCTGAAAAGCCCTATATGGTTTGGGTCTAGGCTAGCTAAAGGACTATATCCCCATATGAGCCTTTCTGGACCCCAAAATCTTCACAGGAGACATTTCATTTGGCCTCAGTGCCATCACAGGTGCGCTTGATGTGAACACAAGAGAAGGCCTTCTCTGTGACTGTTTCTGGGTTGTGGAATGGCAGATTGTCCCCTTCCTTTATACCCTTTTAGTGACAGTCAAAACCTACCTCTTCAGGCAGGCTTTTAATAACTAAGGGTGCAACTGCACTGGGTCTTTTTTGGTGCAGGCTGGTGAGATCCAAATAGGGTTGGTTTGAGGTTATAGGGGAAGAGCGATATGCCATTTGGTCAGATCTGTGCATGCAAATGGCATACCAACCTCAAGCAACCCTGTTTTTGGTATCGCGAAGTGGCTAACTGAGCCACGTCAGAATATCAGCAAATTAAACTGTGGAGAGGCAGAGGAAGTGAAATTTTTATTTTTATTTTTTTTTAAAAGAATTCCTCTGCTATACCATTGCTGGTGCACTGAATCATTTAGATCTTTTTTTGTTTGTTTGTTTGTTTTTGCTTTGTGTATAGTGCTGATTGAGAAACTCCTCACAGCCAGTACTGGCAGCCACAAAGTTTGACTTAGTCCATTCTGAACAATCTCACATGTTGAGGACAGACCAAACTAGAGCACACCAACCTGCACCAAAAAGGTAGAAACCCTGACAAGGCCTCAGAAAGGTGTGGGTTGTGGTGTTCTGGGTGCAAACTGGTCTGCTCTAACAATTATGTCATGTGATGACCAGAAAACAGAGCAAATCAACCTGTCCCTGCAGCACATAGTAAGACAAATGCCCATCTGATCAAGCCGTAAGATTCCATCCTTCCTGGACGCTGACATATATTATTTTTAGTGTGTTTTTAAACTTTTTAAATGTATAGATACTCTTTTTAATTATTATATATTTGTTTTTTTACTTTGTAATTTGTTGTGTTTTTAGCCTAACTTCTTGTAGTCATTGTGAGTCATCTTAAGTCCTTTCATGTGGACAAAGGTGGCCTAGAAATGAAGTAAACAAACTTGTAGTATTTAATCAAAAGAAATAATTACTCTTCCTCAAATAATCTCAAAATGCCACTAGCACTGAGGCACTGCCATATTCCATATGATGTGTTCATTACTTAAAAGCAATCTTACTGACTTTAAAAACAACAATCAGTAGAGACACAGGGCTATTTCTGGAATTGTTGATTTCTTGCAAGGCACTTCCTGGGAGTCACCCTTGCTCACAAATTAATCCAGTTGTTGGACTGAGACCAAGAAGGTCTAGAATCCAATGGAACTTTGAGCTCACTAGGGGTGTGTCTGCAAGGTGCTTTGCTTGGGAATCAGACCTGCCCCCATCAGTGTATCAGAGCAAGCCAGCAAGGGGGGGGGAGTGAAAGCAGAGACAGCCCCACCTCTGCTTCCTGCACAGTCCAAAGCATGGTGCTGGCAAAGGCTGTCCCGTTTTGCCACTTTCAATTTTCTTAAGGTTGGGTGTTCTCCCAAACTTCCAGCTTTGTCCTAAAATACTGTAGAGCTGAGAGAGTGTTTGGGCCCTGAGTGCAAGTTATTTCTCTGCCTCAGTTCTCCAGCTGCAGAATGGGAATAAGAGCAAAGCAAGCTCATGTTAATGTGTCACCACAAACAGCTGCTACAAGGAATCTAAGAGGAGTGCCCTAGGAGGAATCTCAGCTTCGCTAAAAGCGTTTTTAGAATCACATCTCTGGCTCTATGCTACATTCTTTGGCTGCTCTGTGAAGAAAGCTGAACTACTGAAAGTGTGGGGTCAGTTAGAATGCTTGTAGAGCATTAAGAACATGTTAATACAAATGCAGTTATCATCTTTGACTTGGGGATCAAGAGATGGATTAAGTGTGTGAAGGAGCTACTGCAGCAGAACTTCATCTCCGTTCAGGACACGATGTATTTCAGTCTACATATTTGGTCAACCATTATGGGCTGGTAAACATATATGTGTGATCATCACTGATTGTTTATCACACAGTACCTCTGGAAAGTTATGTTTGTTGGATGACGTCTCCCAGAACTCCCCAGCCAGTGTGGCAGGGAAAGCTGCAGTCCAAAAGTAACTTTCCCAAACTCTGCAAGAACCGCAGTATGAACCACCAAGGATTTTGCATGGGCTAAAGGGCCATGATAGAAGTATAACTCCATTGGTCTCATATCTCTCACGCTCATCATTTTGAACAAGAGCAGTTCCTGGGATAAAGGAATCTTAGTCCACCCACTGTATGAATTTTCACCTGCAACCCTATACACACAAGGGAAGAAAACCCACTGAAGCCAATGCAATTTATTTCCAAATAGACAAGCACAGAACTGCATTATTAATCAATTAATCGGTCAGCCATTGAAACCTGCATTCATGTGTGGAATAAAATATTTCTAAACAGGGAGGCAGGCTTTCTCCACACATATCATGCTAGAAGACTCATTTCCATAATCTAACCCTCACAACGCAAGAGGAAAGGACTCATTAAAAAAACAAAACAGCTACACTATCTGGTGGTTTTCCTTAAACAACACGCAGTGTTTTCCTTAAACATCATCGTCATCTGATTAAATAGCTATCCTGAGAGTTGTGGTTCACAAAAGTAACTTAACCAGCCAACCGAATCTATTCATGGAGACCACATTGCAGCCTTCCTTCAAATCTGAGGCTTTTGGGGTGATACAATATGTAAAATAAATAAATAAATGAGAATATACACAAATAAGTAAACAATATGTAAAATAAATAAATAAATAAATGATAATATACACAAATAAGTAATTAAGGTGAATAGTTCTGAGGGAGGAGGGAAGCGCAATGTTATAAATACGTTACAATTGTGGTTCTTTTTTCTTTTTTTACTTTACTATTGTTTGTAGGTGGACATGTTGGTTATGTTTTGTTTATTTGTTGTTATATTACTGAAAATTAATTAAAATTATTCTAAACAATCTGAGGCTTTTTGATGGAGCCCCTTCCTACAACCAGCGGGCTAAACATTGATCCAGGGAAGAAAATTGAACAACAAGCGCGCTGCACGTGGAGTAAGCTCTAAACCAGGCTGTCAAGCGAAGGGCGCGCTCTCTACCTCCCGGGCCCACCTGAAGATCAGACCGAAGCCCTTTTCTGCCTCAGAAGAGCTCCCTGAAAGAGAATTCATACCAAGAGCCCAAAAGCTATCCTCTTTGGAGAGCCATAGGTCTTGCCTTCCTTAGGGAGCAAAGGCAACATCCTCCTCCACCCGACGATCGCCACAGGGTGCGAGAGGGGAGGCTGCTGAGTCTCGCAACCTCTTCTCTACTCTCCTTCAGATCTATCAGACTACAACTCCCATCATCATCAAGCAGGGTGGCTCAATGGCCAGCGATGATTGGGGATGTTGTAACCCCCCCTCAAAAAAAGAAAATCTGGAGGGCACCAAGTTGG